ACACACACACACACACACACACACACACACACAGAAGTGCACTGCCAGAGATGCTGTGCATGCAGCAGCTTGGAAAGACGTGGAGGGGCTCTGGCTGTTTGTCTGCATGAAAATGGACTGGAAGAATGATGCTCCCGGGGTAAAGTCTTGAAAGTCCCAGAGGGAGTTCAGGCAAAAACATTCGCAAACACTTCAGAACTTGACAGGACGGATGGTAGCTGCATTTCAAATGAGTATTTGGTTGATTTTTTTTTACAATTGCAGTGAAAACATCAGTGATGAACTTTCACAAAAGTTTGTTTTAAATCATTCCAGAAAAACTGGAGCAGCCTCACTTTAACCAGTTAGTAAATTTAGAATTGAAAAAAATTGAACTAAATCAACAAAATGCAAAATAGGAATAATGAAAAAAAAAAAGTCTGATCGAATTAAAAGAAAGCACTGGTTTTTAGTAAGGAGCTTACCTTTCTGAGGGGGCTGTTTTTGGGTGAAATAATCACTGCGGTCTCACTTACAGAAAAGCAGGCAAACAGAGAAATACTCAGAGAGAACCCCAGCACATGTGCACAAGTGAGATGCACACCTTGTGGACACTGCTTTTTATCTACTGCAGGGTGGAGTCAGGGTGGTGGGTGGGGGAGACAGTGGCAGAAAGCGAGTCATGGTGGAAGACATGGTGGGATCAAGAATTGCCTGAGAGTAAACGCAGCCTTCCAATAAAGTTATGCTATAATTCATAGTGGCAAAACATGCTCACCTACCCTCGCTGAGCGCCCACTGTGGAATGACGGCGATGACAAAGATAAAAAGGAATGTTTCCCTCATTAATGTCATGATACAGTGGACAGTGAATCCTGTAAAAAGCCCAGACACACTGGAGGTGGTTGTTCTAGATCACTTGTTCTGGCACACACCTGGGGGGAAAAAATGTAAATCAGGACAGAAACACACCTAAAGAATGTATTTAATTATTTGCTGATGACATTTTTACTGAGAATATTTAACTGCCTGTTCAGGCAGATATGTCAACCATTTTGAGACTAACACCTAATACTTTTTGAATGATTTATTAGGTCATTGTTAAACCATGGTATGATATTTTATTGCAGTCATATTTCTGTATATGACAAATAAGAGACAATAGTTTTCCTTTTTCTGAGTTTTTGGAATGAACAGTGAAACCCAAAACTCTTTAGCTTGACATACCAGTTTAAAGTTACCAAAAGCAATGTCTGACTTTACTAAATTATTATTAATCTATCAAATCATTTAGATTATGTCTAAATCGTGTACAATGTACAGTTGTTCAGTTTGAATTTTTAATGGTGTTTAGAATCGGAATGTTTGGAAATCTGAAATTTAAATGCAAGACTTTATGTAAATATGACTTCACATTTTGGTGTAGCGATGCCAACTTTCCATCACCTGCAACGCAAAAACTGAAACTAGTAAAGTGCCTCCTTTGGTCAAACCACTTCAAAGTCTGCAGTCATTTTAAAGTGTAAAAAGAAACGTGACAACATCGCTCTCAGACGCGTTCTTTAAAAAGTGTGAAAACTTTACTCAGCGATGACGGTGCCGATGGATTCTAAGAGGGAGCATTCAGAGCCTCTGGGTAAAAATACAGTTACACTTAGAGGGTCTTTGTTGGTCTCTCGTGCCATACGATTTCCATGGCAGCTTTAACACCTGTGCCCAAAACCCCTCTTTTGACAACAAACTACAGTAACTCTGACGTGTCAGACGACCTAAAAATACACACTGTGTACACAGAGTATGACTCTGTTCCGTTGTCCTGCTGGAACTGTTTGTGCTCTCTTTTATTCCCCCCGCATCGACCGCCGTGGGCTTTGCTTTTTCGGATTTCAGCTGCAGCACAGAGACCATCAGTGTGTCCTCCCGGATGGCGGATTCAAGTGTTTGTGTTTGTATGGGGATACGTGTGGTTTCGAACCGACACGGTGGTGTAAAAGGGTGGATGTCCAGTTGCATCTCCAACAACCACGTGTCAGCTGAAGTTTGGGTGTGATCTGGTTGCTGAAGACTGTTAATGTCATGGATGCTATACTGAACGATAAAACATTTTTCATATATACGGACGGTATCTGAACTACAAAAGCTGTTGTCGGACAATGACATCATTTTCCTGCCCTTATTCGTCCAATGACGTGAAGGAAGAGATGATCGAAAACCACATTTCTTTTGAGATACTTCCAAACCTCTATAATGCGGTCTTTATCTCTGCGAGCTTAACTTATAATTGTCCCCTGCCCACCCATACAAACACGAAACTCATATAAATGCAATAAATAAACCCCGCCCCCCACACACACACACACACACGTAGCCACACACTTTGAGTTGTGGTGTGAAAGGTACACGATAGCCGGAGGGTAATGAGTTGTGTGTGTTTGCCTTTGTGCTTCAATTCTCTTCCTGCTCCATTAATGAAGCCTCAACGGGCCTCATAACTGCCACCCATCGATCCTCCGTCCTGCAACGACAAAAAACACGGCAAATTCTGTTCTTTAAATACACTTAAAGCCGATCAATGCTTTTTTATTTAACCCCAAAAGAGGAATAAATGTGATAGAATCTTAGCACTGCTGATCACGGCTGTTGAAATGGTCTGACACGTCAGATTTCCTGAAGTTTGTTGTCCAACGAGGGGTTTTGTGCACAGGTGCCATGGAAAATCGCATGGCACCAGAGACCAACAAAAACCCTCTGAGTGTAACTGTTCAGATGAACCCAAGCTGAAAAGGAAACGCCCATTTGTCCCTCATTCAAAATCAGTGCGTGGTAGATAGATTGGCAGATGGACAGAAACTACCGTTTTAAAACCAGTAGGAGAGTGGCGTTCTCACGATGCTTTAGTGAGCGGCCTGGGCCACGTCCAGCATTTATCACTGTCACTTTTCTTGTTAATCGACTCTTGCGAGAGTTGGGAGACTATTTTCTGTGGCTCCCGTTCAACTGTGCGTGCGCTCTGGCACGTTCGTGGGCTCCCCCAGTTTGCCATCTCTGTTTTCAGCGCAACATGGCAACTGTAGATGCATTTTCAAATATTTGCGGGGGCTCTTTGCATTTTACAGTCATAAAGCAGCAAAGGTGATCCACTCACCATGGCAGCCCCACAGCTAGGAATCTGCTTTTAACCCGTTTAAGAGTTGCCGGCCCATAGTTTGGTCGCATTTTTAGATGGGTTTATGGCATCGGAGCTTGTAAGGCTCCCGCATTCCTCGCTCCTTCCCTCTTCACTATGAGGCAATCCAGGAATTTGCAGAGCAAACAGAAGTAAACATCTAAAAGTGTATATGTCACCTCATCTGTGGGCACAGAGAGCTGTGGAATTTAGGCCAGCTGGAAACATCCCAAGACACCGATGATCCATCGGCCTTATCGGTCTGTATCATCTTATCAATCTGATTTTCCCATCACAGGGGATAGAACCAGAATTATAGTCCTCGTTTTTAAAGCTTTTTTGTCCAATTCTGATCTCACACTGAGCTAATATTTGCCCCTCCGTGATGTCACTCTTCAACTGGGAATTCTTTCGGAGAACAACAAGTAATTCAGGGCCATAATGCTTTTCAACAAGTGTGTCATCCACTTCTTTCTTTTCAGACTTTTATTATTTTAAACCTTTGACCCAGTGTCCAAGAGTGGTGAACCTTGACCGTCCTTCTCTGACCTTATAATTCACACTGAACATGCCCTGTTCATATACAATGGAATGTCTCTAAAAAAAGAAATCCACGTCAGGAAAAATAGTTGACACACTACTCCAGTTGTTTGTCCAGACTGAAATATGTTGTTTGACCTCCATGAAATTTAGGAAAGATTGCCCGACTGATAATGTGTTTTTTGTTTAGATATCAGGAAAATCACGTCACCTGTCATTTTCGTTTTGGGTTACTTGGAAAGTATGACCAGATGCAGTTTAATACGATGTTTGCTAGGTCATGTTACATTTAGGGGAACATAAAACCATCCCACTTGACTGGCAATGTATTTGATGAACCAAAAGTTTTGGCATTAGGTTCACAACTCATTGTTTAGTATGTCATTCCTGAAGCCGCACACTCAATTGGTTATTGGAAAATCTCCCTCCATGCCTTACTTGGAAACAGATTTAGGGTTCAATCTCCTCCCATTTGTCCCTGACTGTGATGACCAAAGTGTCGCACCCTTCACCCCACACCTGCTACTCTCAGGAGGGCATTTTCTTGTTTCTCGCCCCTTTCCATGTGCCTGGCCATAAATCACTGGCTTTAAGACTCCCCCGTGTCATATAAAAAATGCCCTTCTCACCACCAATAAGGCCAGAGGTTTGTTATTCAGTTTTTTTTAAAGAAAACAAGCTTGTTCCTCAAACAGTCAGGCTCCCAGAACTGGTACCACCACCTCCTTCTCTCATGGACCTCCATTCCATCTGTGGGGATAAAGAGAAAGGCATTCCGCTGAGGTCAAAATCCCATGACCCTAACTTTGACTCTTAATGATCAGCCATCTGACATCTGCACAAATTTGCCCACTTTGTTCGGGCAACACAAACTACTTGGCCATACATTCATAACCTTAATGCTCCAAATTGCAGCTAAATGTGTAATGTAGAGAGCTCCCATGGCTTCAGTTAAACCTTTGTGACCGGTCATTATGATTTTCAAACAGTCTCCATGCAGTCTCCAGAGAGCAGCAGCTCAAACAACCCCACCCCTTTTGGTAATAACTCTACTGTACATGCATGTGTGCGCGTGTGTGTGTGTGCGAAGGCTCCGTTTAGCTTTGAGAGTTCGCTGTGAATGCACAGGTGGCGGACACACTCCCCCACTCACAGATGTCCTGCACCTATCAAGCCTTCACACGGCAGTGTGGAGGCAAAGCCCCCGGACATTCACGTGTAGTGCTGTACACTTGTGCACAAACACATGGACGGCTTGTCCGCCGTGGTCTTTTCCATTCCACGCGTTGAAAAGTGCATGTATGCAGCACCTGGCTCGTGTCTGTCTGTCTATCTATATATCTATCCGTTCGTCCATCCATAGTTTATTCTTCATGGGGACCTTCCTAGCTGAGTCATATTACCCCGTAGCCAATAAAGGAGCTGCTCAAATTCTCCAGTGCTTAAGAAACAAGGTCTCATGCTTCCATTATTATTTCTCCATGCTCACGATATACCAGGCCTTCTGTGATGAGCAAAAGAAGGAGATGCCTACCCACAATTTCAAATTTAGTAGTAACATACAAACAACTGGGATCCTTGTTGGTAATTATCCAGGCCGGAGGGTGACAGTGAGTAGCTTGTGGCATCACTAAGTTGAACTTTTTTATAGATTGACTTTTAATTCCAAACTTTGATTAAAAATGTGAATCATAAAGATCCATATTTTTTGTCAATGGTCAAGTCATCACTGCAGCGCGACTGTGTTTTCCTAAGTCTAGATGATGACATCTGTCTTACAAGTTGAATCTTAAAGAGGCGTCAGTCAAGTTTACGTACATCCATCATACTCCCTCTTCACACCGTGGTATGGCCGTCTTGTCTCTATTTACTTGCATCTGCAACTTGGCAAACACACAGCTTCCTATGAGTGATAGGACATGTCAGATGGAGACAGGCAGTCTGTTGACTCTTGCCATGTGCGATTTTTTTCTTGTTTTTTTGGTCAAATTTGAAGTAAGTGGGAAAAACAAGTGAGTGATAGATACATATATTTATGGCTGTCCTGAAGGCACCAGTGGGTACAAGAAGCCAGACAGAAGAGTCTTCAAGAACAGCTTATTCAAATCTGCTCCGTTTTCCTCCCTTCCTCAACGTTCAT